TGTGAGAGCAGACAGTGAGTGTAGGGGGGAGGTGGTAATGGAGAAGAATGGACGTCTGAGAGCTTTGACGACTGTGTTAGTCGTACTGTGAGAGGACGGAGGATCGTTTAATGACAGCCCTGGATCGGATTGAGGGATAATAGGGATTTATGGACACACTTAAGGCCGCACGCCACGGATTCACTCCCAAATTGTCATAATGCGCGACAGTGTACAGATGGTCGGGGGGGGGGGGGTAAATGGCTGCCCCACCCCCACCCCACCTCCCTGGCCTGTCGTGGGAGAAATGGTCCAGTACTGTGTTTAACACAACATCTACACACACTGATGTTTGTTAGCTAGCGGTTTCCAAACTGTTAGCTAAGCACGGGGACAGCGATGTAGGCAACAAATGATTATGGATACAGTTAGTCTTTGAATTGATAAGCAGCAACAGTTGCCAGAATATGAAAATAAAAAGTGTAATGTAAGATAAACAGCTAAAGGTTAGCCAAACAGTAGCTGGCGGAGGAAAAATCTTCATTTAGCAATTTAGCAATTTAGCACACAGGATGTTAAATTAGTGCTGTACAAAGTCGCTGTGATTTTGTTAGAAGCTAGAACTAATGAAATAAAACAAACAAACAAACAAACAGGAATTTGTTGCATAAATAACGACGTTAGCTAAAAATAGTCCCAGTAGCACCGAGTGGAACCTAAAACCCCGAGAACAGGCCCTGGAACTGTTTGTGTCAAAGTACTACATCATTATGTAAAAATAATTGCTAACTGCGGGCGTGTGTTAGTGGAACACAGAGAGAGAGTCGCTGCGACGGAGGAACAAACATCCTGTTTGATCTTCGCTCCGACAGGATGTAAAAACTGCTGCGGAATGAAATTAGAGAGTGTGAAAAAGAATTACGGCTAATCATCCACTGGACGGTTTTATTAAAGATATTTGTCATCGTACAGTCGGACCTGGAGGTCAGTCGGACGTCGCCGCCGCCGTCGGTCGTAAACAACGTTGGCCTCACATTTGAGGTCAAGAGGATTTTCTGTGAACAGAGAAAATCAGGATTTACGTCGTTTAATCCCAGTGTGAAACCAACAACTGAAAGTCAGAACGAAAACAAAGGCCGGGGGTCACGGTCTGACACCGTCTCCTTCATCAGCTAACGCTAGCTCTGTTAGCCACTGGATACCACCCTGAAGTTCATCCTATGCTAACCGTTAGCCACATTAAAGCTAAATAAACCATAGATACTTTTTTAGAAGTTGTTTTTTTTTTACCTGCCAGTTTTATTTTGTTTCTTGTCGTCCCTAGATTTTAAAGATTAAAAGTTTTATTTTGTTTCTTGTCGTCCCTAAATTTTAAAGATTTAAAATAAAAACTTTTTTAAAAAGACCCTCACGTTGCTAATTCAAATGACCTTTGAAAATTTATATTATTTTTTATTAGTATATTATTATAATATTTAATTTTTTTGAATCTGTCTGTTAATATAAAGTACTTAGACGGGTGCAGTGGTTCCCAAAGCGGTGGACGCGGCTCCCGAACAGGGACGCGAAACCAGTTTGAGAAGGCCGGAGCAACACCTGATTGGCACTGTTTAACTGTTGTTCTTACGGTGGCCAACAGGTGGCAGTGTTGTGGGAAAAAAAAGCATTTTTGTGAAAATTGGACTGGAATTTTGAAGCTAATTTTTCGTAGTGCAATGATGTGGATGTGTCGACGCTAGGCTAATCTTATGTTGTGTTGGTTTCCAGGAGAGCTAACAGTTAGCCAGGATAAACACAGCTCAGACGCAGCTGTGGTTTGACCTCGGTGTTAATGCGTTGGTGACCGTCGTCGTATTTACACCGTCGTCTCCCCCAGAACTGCTGCTCACTGGGGTTTTTTTGTTTTTTTTACCCCCCATTTTTTTTTTTTTTTTTGGGACCATTTTGTCTAAACACTAAAGTTGGTTGTGCGTGAAAATCCCAGAAGATCAGCAGTTTGTGGAAACACTTAGACCAGATTGTCTGGCACCAACGACCAGAGTCGCGGAAAAGTCACTTTAACTTTGGGGTTTGTTTTTTTCATTCTTTCTTTGTTAGTTTTAGTTTAAACTTCGACACCTGAACAGTGAACGTGAACGATTTTAACGGCTGCTTTTTTTTTTTCCAAACCTGGTGAATGACAAACTGTTACTGTTGTCAGTAAAGAGCGGGAGCCGAGACCCAGCTCAACCCTGTTTAAATAAAACTGCC